ACTTAATTTAAGAAATTTTTACTTATTTCTAGATTTTTTTTCCAGTGCACAGTTGCGTTGTCTTATTTCAAGTGCATATGATCTAAATATTTTATTTTAAGAGTAAAACTACTCATTCCATTGGCAAACTATCTCATTTACCTACTGAAATTAATGGCAAGTACACTTAATTTAAGAAATGTTTACTTATTTCAAGATCGTTTTTCCACTGTGTCGTCGTTTCCTGCGTCTCTAAGCCCTGATTAGGCTATCGTTTGTCGTATCCATTTCCCAAAAGCCGACTCTGTCAAGTAAATTCACTAAAGGCTTCTTTGCACTGGAAAAACAATCTAGAAATAAGTACAAGTTCCTTAAATTAAGTGTGCTTTCCCTTAAATTGAGTAGGTCAATGAGATGATTTGCCAATGGAATGAGTATTTTTACTCTTAAAAAAATATATTTAGATAAAATGCACTTCAAATAAGACAATGCAATTGTGTTTTCTTGTTTTAAATGTAAATTGTCTTGTTCCATTGGCAAAATGTCTCTTCTCAGTTCAAGAACATGCACACTTTTAAGAATTTTGAGAAAAAAATGACGTATCTAGATTGTGATTTTTTTCCAGTGTATTTCCTGAATGTTATAGATGCCACCATGTTGATTAGATTGATTCCCTCTAGAGAGCAGTTGTACCGTAGATCCCCACTAGGAGGCGAGGAACCGCGCTAGCGTGGTGTGTAAATGTGAGGAATCGAGCTCGGCACAGATCGGTTTTCAGAGGGTAGCGTACATGGGGCTTAAAAGAGGAGGACCTAATGGGCTTTTTGCTTAAACCTTTAAAACCCCCTCTATGTTTTCCAGGCCGCCTCCAAAGAGCACTCTGAGTCGAGTAATGATGACCAAAGCTCGAGGGAAGGAGCGTCTGTGGAGCTGCATCAGAGAGCCTCTGAAACAGCCTCTGCTGAAGAAGGTCCTGGCTCATGAGGAGCTCTCCCAGGAGGCTCTTCTGGCCTTCATAGATATCTTTTCTCTCTTATGTTTAATCAAATTTCTGCTCTCTGTGACATCATTTCATTTTCAATTTAATCATAACAACTAAACATTTGTTTTGTATTTTTTTCAAGGTTTTAAAGCAGATAAAAAGTCAACTCTGACACTGGAAAAATCAAAATCTAGAAATTTCATTTTTTTCTTAAAGTAAGTGTTCATGAATTGAG